CAACTACTTTTATAGATGTATTATTTTTTTTTTTTTTTGAACACAATTATTCTTTTAAACTTTAATTATGGGATTTTATTTAATAAAGAAATATGAATCTATAAACACAATAAAATGTATAAACTAGAGTAAAAGATAACCAATAATGTACGAAACAAAAATTATAATTGGGAGCTGTGATATTTTAGCTTTGTATTTTCCCGATTTGTTTTGGTATTTTGAGTATTTTTCTAAGATACATGGTTCTACAAAATTAGAAAATAAATAGTTCAGACATTCAAGTACACAAATAACGTAACAAAATACATTTAAAACCAACTTTGAATTTTGACTTTAAAAAAATAACAAAAAAAATCATAACGATTACTCTTCAAGTTATGTGTAAGAGTTTTAGTAAAATAATTTACCTATGATGAAGCCAAGGGTAAATATAGAATTGAAAAAAAGGGGCTAGAAAAAAAAATCTCTTCAAATATAATACAAAGCAATAGCCATAGAGTTTGTACAACATCCCCCCTAGTATTTGCTCTAAACGCAAGGCCCTTGTCTCTTATCATTCATATTATTATTTAATTTGTATATAGAATTTTAGTTAAAATATCTGTGTTGAACAAAAGCCATCGGTATGTTTTCATAGTGTACAGTATTTTTCTCAATAGTTGGTGTAATGTAAACAAATAACAAAAATCTGTTGGCATTATACAGCTTGAGTCTTAGCATAATGTGAGTAACCATATTTACATAAACAAAATGTATAGAGCTATTATTGTTTTTTTTGAACACAAGTGTACAAAAACTAAATTATATTTATTTTTATAATTGGGAGCTGTGATATTAAGGTTTTGTATTTTCCCGATTTGTTTGGTATTTTGAGTATTTTACTGTGATACATGATTCTACAATTTAAGAAGATATATAGTTTAGACATTCAAGTACACAAATAACGTAACAAAATACATTTAAAACCAACTTGTTTACGAAAAAAACTAGACGATCACTGATGATTAAATTGTGTATCTACTGTAATCTTCGTTTACTGGATAAAAGCCGAACCGTCTACTTATAATAAGATACTTTATCGTTTTGATAAAATCACTTTCGAATCAAATTTGTTATGCTGATTTGAAAATACTGCACCTTACTGAAATTCTTTCTTAATATGCTGGTTTATACTATGGTTTGGACTTTACTGGCTTGAAAATACTAACTACTGATTTGCATCGATGAGGTGTGATTTTATCACTTTCAATATAATAATTCCTCTAGACCTGTGACCTCCCCGATCTCGTTTTGTCTTCACCCCTCTATGCTCCGTCCTCAATATGGCCCGTCCCCACTGTACTGAGTTTTTATAAAATATAGGGTTTCAAATTTTATTGGGAGTCCCCTTAATGTGGTGCTGAACGAAACTTATATAACAATGAGTATCAAGTTATTACAATAATATGTATTTTTATTATGTAGACTCCTTAACTAATGAGCGGAAGTATCCTGTTATGTCTAGATTTTAATTTTCTCTATTTTATTAACCATTAAACTTTTTCAGCTAAAAGAGTGATTTTTAGAAAATAAATATAATTTTAAAAAAAACCATCGACTACCGTATGATATCTATTTATTTTTTTATTAAGGATATGAATACATAGCTAATAAGCATTTTGAATTATTTTTCAACGTTGATAATTATTAGAGTTCGAATATCGAACATTTTATTTTGTTTGCAACATATTTTTAAAACTTTTTGCATTTATTTAATACAATTAATGTATTAAAAATTATAAAGCATATTTATTCAAAATGTTGCTATTGACCAATTTTATAACATTTAATAGATAGGTAAACTGGATAAGCATATTGAATCTTTACTCTGATTTAATTAGGTTAATACTCAAATTCAAATCGAAGAAAAACATAAATATTTTCATAAAATATATTTAACCGTTATTTATTGTTGATAAAAATAAGATAAAAAACTATTATACATATGTATTTGTCTATATATCAACAATAAATATTGCAGTTGAAAACGATTTTTCGTAAAACGCGAATATCTAAGCTCTCTGAATGTTAAAATGAATTAAAATATATTGTAACTCTACAACATTAATGATTAACTAAAAAAATCTGTGAATTTGTTTACTTATGATAAGTAGTAATAGAATCTTATTAGACAGTTAATTAAAACTCGTATTGTTTTTTTGTCTTTTTTAAATTTTAACTGTGAAGAAGATTTATTTTTTCTATTTTTGCCACCACCCAATACCAACTAGGTGAAATTTGTAATTTATAGAGTTGCTATTCGAAAGAATTGGTCCAGTACTAAAAAAGTTTCAGTGTATACAGACAAAAAAAAAAAAGCCCACATCAAAGTAAAAACAATAGAATCTCTGCTCCGCATCAAAGCTAAAAAAAAATTACATCCAGACAATTATGGTACAATATAGACCAGCCTTCGCTTCTACTACTACTACTACAACTACAAATTTTCTAAGTAACGTTAGTGACGTTATGTACAAATTGTAATAATGTGTAGTTTTATGTTGTTACATTAATAGAAAATATACATACAATATAAATTTAAGATTTAATTTTGAGTTTCTGAATTTTTTAAATTAAACGTTTCGAAAAAAAATAATGATACATAATCGTATGTATATTATTGAACATAATATGAAAAATAATATGAAAATATAGCAGAATCTCAATATCTACATGTGTTAAACAGTCTCAGTCGTTACTCCATACTCCTTAAAACTACTGTGGAAATTAGTGAAAAACTATTCGATGCACCTTCAGACTATCATTTTACATTGTGTCCAAATATTTCAAATTGTCCAAAGAAATCGCTTTTGAATTTCGTCGAAAATATGGACAGTTATCTTCTTAAGAAAACAAGGAAAAAATATATCGGAAATCGCTTACCTCAAAAACACTCAAATCGGTTTCTTCTCTACATTTTGACGGGATTGTTTTTACGGCATTACAAAATCTCCAAATGTTTTGTATCGAATATCAAATAGAAAAGTTAGCCTTACCTAAGATAAGATTTGCCTTAGATCGATTAGATTGGTTGAATGTCCGATCTATGATCAACTATATTTTCAGAGACTCTAATATTTAAATTCGTCATTACTCTCTGGACGAATATTCTACAGAAGAGAAACTTCAGATTATCCAAGAATATCACATAAATTTATTAGGTAATCATCAAGGCATATCACGAACCCTCAAACGCTTAAAGAAACATCACACATGGATCGGTATGAATCACGATGTAGCTGAATTCATCCAAAAGTGTACCTCTTGCCAGAAAAACAAAATCATTAATAGTCATGTAAAGGCCCCGATGGTTATCACCACTAATTCCTTAAAGCCCTTTGAAAAGATCTTCATAGATGTCGTCGGTCCACTTCCTCGTACTCATCTCAACCATGCCTACATCCTAACTCTACAAGATGACCCGAAAAATTTTCCATGGGCAGTCGCCATAAATAAATAACATATTTATGCTGTATACTAACCCCTTTAAAAAATTATGCGGATTGCTAATATTAAACCCTCATTCCATCTGCCTTCCATTATTATTTTTGTCGTTTCAGTTTTGACTTATTTATAATCTATTTTTTAATTTATGAATTTTATCGTTTATAATTGTATTTAACAGGAATTTGAGTTTTAACTTAACAGAGTGTATAAAAAATTATGTTATTTAGATGTGTTGGAAACTGTTTCTTCGTTTATATTTTTTTGCGTAGTTTAATACTTAATCTCTGAATGTTAGAATGAATTACGACACTACAACATTAATGATTAACTCAAAAAATCTGTAAATTTGTTTACTTATAATAATTAGTAATAGAAACTTATTAAACAATTAATTAAAACTCGTATGGTTTTTTTGTTTTTCAAATTTTTACTGTGATGAAGAATTATTTTTTCTACTTTTGCCAACGCCCAATACCAACTAGATGAAATTTGTAATTTATAGAGTTGCTATTCAAAGGAATTAGTCCAGTATTAAAAAAGTTACATTGTATACAGACAAAAAATAAGGCCACATCAATGTAAAACCAATAGAATCTCTGCTCCGCATCAAAGCTAAAAAAAATTACATCCAGACAATTATGGTACAATAAGGACCAGCCTTCGCTACTACTACTACTATTACTAAAATTACAATTTTTCTAAGTAACGTTAGTGTCGTAATGTACAAATTGTTATAATGTGTAGTTATGTTGTTATTATTTTAATAGAAAATATACATACAATATAAATTTGAGATTTAATATTGAGTTCCTGAATTTTTTAAGTTAAACGCTATAAAAAATAATAATTAATGATACAGAATCGTATGTATATTAATAAACATAATATGAAAAATAAATAAAATGTTTGTTCATAAGAAATTAATTTTAATTATTATGGTGTCTGCTGTAGCGGCTTAAATAATTTTGTATTATTAACAAGTACATAATTATATTTTTACATATTTGTTACTTTCATGATATTTTGTAGAACAAGAAATTCGTTTTTCTAAGTGCTAATAATTTTTGAAAAACATTTAAAAAAAATGTTTTCTAACATCACACGAATGTACAATGATTTAGCTGTAATATGAGTTACATTTCATTAAAATTATAGTATTTTCCCCATTAGATAGAAGCCATTAACAATAAAAATATGGAGATAGCAGTTTATTCTTGTAGAGTATCAGAGTTTATTAGCTTAAATGAGCTATTGCTCATTTTCACAATGTATGTGAAATTGCATTAAAAGGTAGTTTAATATAAAAGTGGAGTTGGATGAAAAATAAATGTTCCATAAAACCCAAAAACAAACGAAGCGGCAAAAAAAAATGGTGCGTAGAAAACAAAAACAATCGGAACAAAGGCATCTGTTGAAGCGGTCGGTGGTGGTGGCCATAGGTGAGATGAGGAGGTGGAGTGGTAGTCGAATAAAACTCAAACTTACTGTTTGTGATTACTTAGACTGTTTTTGTGCACAAATATATTCATTATTCACATTCGTGATAATATAATAAAGGTGTAGGATTATTCCAACACGTACAACAATGTATCATACCTAGTTAACTCTCCGGATTGTTCAGTTCACAGTAAGTCGTTCAAAGTTCGTAGGTACTCGTGATTTAATTTTTTTTAAAAATATGCGTATTCGGTTTAACTATTATATGTGGAATAATGTTATAAAACTGTTCAGTAACTAGTTTTCGAATAAATATTTATAATCTTTTTTTTACATATTAAATGTATTAGTTATCATGTTATTGATTTTTAAAGGGAATCTCAATAGAAATATTGTCATTGACTTTATTTATTATATTATTAAACATGTAATAGGTAAATAATATATGTTTGCATTAGTCTTATGAAATTAGGTAAAATCTCAATAAATGAATAACAAAACGTTTTTTTTTTAAATACTTATAATTTCTTTAAAATGCTAAAACAATAGAGTTTGAAACTTATTGGCTATATATGAGCAGCTAAAATTTATGTATCAAAAATAATTAATGTAGCATGTAAAAAATAACCTCAAATATTTTTGTATAGCGCGTATGTCTTTGAAACTAAGCAAGTAAACTAAAATGAAAAAAAGGTTGTTTAATAAACTATAACAACATATTTAGCACATTAAACTAAAAAAAAATAACAGAATTGTTTACAACACCTGTGGCGATTTAAACAAGTAAAACATTTAAAATTTTATGATGCAAACATAAATTTTACGAAAGACTGCAAACACAATAAAGAAAAAGAAACTAATTATAAAATTCACTTGAAAACTATTTTAATATGTAATCATGTACTTGTATTTTTGCATGTTAAAAATTTTATTTAGAAATTATAGTTTCGGTTGATACCCAGTTTTATCGAAAAGTCGCAAAAATATCATTTTAAAACAGTTTAAAATTGGTCTTTGCTTTGTATGTTCAATCATATAAGGAACACTATACAACTGCAAATATGGTAATTACACTCAATATACTGTACCTATTCAAATTATCTTTAGTATTATGTAGAGTATTTTATTATGTACAGCACTTTCAGATATACAATACAAAACAAACAAATAAAAAGGTTTCCACCTCATAATATACGAAAAAAAAAGTTGATGATATTTTTTAGGGTTTTACTGTACTTAAATAGTACTAAATTTTAAAATACATTACGTATCTTTAATTTCAATAAGATAACACACAAAAGTTTGGGAATAACCTATTTATAAGTCAATAAGCTTTTTCGTGCTGAATTCTATGCTTGAAAGAACGGCATTTTTTGTGTGTTTTTAAGGATGTAATTTTTTTTTTTTTAAGCTGGCATTTTGAAATATTCTTTAAGAGATCTTCGTGAAATTTGACTACAGATTTTTGAGAAAAATGTATACGTTATAGATCTACCTTCGGCCTAATTTTCAGATCTAAATCTCTAAAACTTTGTTTGAAAAATTGAAATAAAGAAAAAAATTCTATCCTTTCTAAGGGAAAAGATTTATGATATTTTTTTGTTTTGTTAATGTTTATCGATAGTACTTTGTTTGAAGAACAATTCATTTAAATTTGGAATTTTTTCGACTATTTTTAAAAAAGCTATAGAGCGTCGTAATTTTAAATTGTGTTTTTCTCGGTTTTGATGGGGAAGGGGTGACTTTTTTAAAATTTTGGCCTATTAAAGTACCTTTCAAGTATGATTTCTAAACTATAGCGTTGCTACACTAAGAAATCGGTTCAGCGGGTTACAAGATATCGTGGGCCCAGACCAAAAAAAAAAAATAAAAACACATCAAAAACAATACCTTCTCAACTCTGCACCGAAGCTAAAAATATTTAGGTTTAGACACAATAAATCAATAAAAACTTTACACACATATAAAACCAAACTGGTATTTAGATATAGGCGTCCCACTTGTAATTCTATTTTCTATCATCTTTTCCCATATCTTTGTACTAAGGTCATTCATTTTATTACTCTATAGTTTCTAGATTCTTGAATAAAATCATTTTATGCTTTTAAATGTTTGCAGATGAAAACGGAATGTTACTATTTTTTTTTAACACTTACCCTTGTCAGTATTTTGGAATTTTCTGCAGGTAATTATTTCTTTTTCCACGTGCCTCCTGGTACCTTTCATTGGATAAATAATAATCATATAAAAAAAACCAAAACAATATTTTTTACAGTTGACTGTTCTGATATCCCTGATGACTATACGAGGGTGGTTAGACATAATAGTCAGTAACAATTTTCTACATACAACATTTAATTTTACTAATAACATACATTCTTCTATAAATGTGTTAATGATTTATTACAGACTATGTCTTACAACTATGTCAAAATGGTATGATATGAATAATATAGAAAACTATTTTGTTATGTTCCCCCGAATATTAAATAAATCATAAATCAAAAATGAAATTGTCTATAAACTATTCATGTAAAAAGTGTAAAAGATGCTTGTTTATGAATACCTGAAAGTTTATAATACTAAAAGAAATAATTTTCATAATTTACATTAAGAAAAAAAAGGTTGGATGGACGAGTCACTTCCTTGTACAATATGCAGTGACTATTTAACCTTATAGTGTTTTAAGCATTATAATTTATATCATTTACTATAGCTCAAACAATTATTTGTTGATTATAGAACATTTGCCTTATTTGATTGAACAAGTTATTCGTACAGATCAAACGATAGGTAATCACAGTTTTTTTAAAATATAGTTAAAATAACTAAATATAGTTATACTAACTATATATATAGTTAAATATAAGTGATTTAAAAATGACAAATACAATTTTATATTTATTAAAAATTTTCTGTGTAATAAATCATAAATTATACTCAACATTTGAAATAGAATCTTTATGACAAACAACACAGATGTTATCTCATTCAACTTAACCTCACCGTTACATTTTGTTCTACTCGGTACATTTACTTGAATTCGGTTTTTTTAGTATGACATAGTGTACATTCAATTCAATATACCTAATAAAGCAACATGTGTTTTCCATATCTATCTTCTAATGTATAATAGGATAGAAATTAAAATCCTATTTTATTTAATAATCCATATTTTACTTTACTTACAGAAGATATATCTTATACATTTGCTGTACCAGGTAACATTATTTTCTACATTTTGTAGACGTATTTTCAAATTCCTTAAGTGTATAATACTATCTTTTTTTATTTCAGAAAAAGCAAACCATCGATCATCTGGTAATCGCCTTTATATATTTTATATTTCTATTAATTTTAATACTTAGAGTCATATACATATATACCATAAATAATCATTTATTTGTATACATTTTTTTTTTAAATTAAAGAGTCCTTTCAACGAGAGGAAAGACTTCGAAGCCTGCTGAGGACGTTTTACAGGGGTAAATATACAATATTGTTGATTATCTAGTTATAAATAAAAATGATAAATGTTGTATAAGTTCAAAGCAGTAATGAAGAATTTAGTTTTTGCTTCAAGTTTGGAATCATTATATTTTGACTGTCTCAAATACAGTTATGAATGTGTTAAAGCTTTCGTGGATTGTTATATCATTTTTTTATCGCCCTGAAGATGGACTCTGCAATGAGTCCGAAACGTCGGCCCGTAACTATTGACGTGGATATATCCGAAAATCACCCAAATAAAATACATTTTATATCTATAGTTTAAAAGTGGCTTCTAAATTTAGTTTTTAGTTGTTTATTTAAATCTTCGTTATCTTAATTTAAAAGTGACTGTTATAGATAAAATATAAACACCGGGTTTTATAAACTATATTATTTTTAGTTACAGGTCTTCCTGACTTACCTACAACTCAACAAGGTAACTATTGTAATTATTTTGTATTTGTATAATAGGGCAAAGTGTAAAAGTCCCTTTTTTTATACTTTCTTATATTTTTGAGAAAATTCACAAAAAAATTGCCTTTACATGGGATATGAGGAAAATGTTCCTTCCCATATAGAAAGAAGGTTTTTACATTGGTTTTTGGTTTTTCCATGATTGTCAATTATACTTCCCAAACAGAACACGAACTAAATAATCCCAAGGCTTAAACATTTAAAAGGACGTAGAAGTATTATTGAAGGAAGCTAGATTTAGACCGGCAAGATCTGTACATGTTAAGTGTATTGTTTGTCACAACAAAATGTTTGGATTTTTTTAAATTAACATTAAAACTTTAATAGTAAATCTTAGTAGAATTTTAGGATATTAAAGCAGTTTTTTTTTTTTTTAAGTATAAAATTTTATTAGTTTTCTTTATTATTTATGTCGTGAAATAATAAAAACTTATCTTGTAATAAATCTTGTATGATCCATAACTAGTTACGTCCTAAAGCCATTTGATTCTTATCAACCAAATTTTGATTACTAATACAAATGTTAACACGGTACAATGTTATTGAGTTTCAATACTTATAGTTGAAAAATTGAAAAAATACAGTTCTTAAAAATGTATTTTCATCCCAACTATCTACTTTATTTAAAATGTATAATTCCTTGTTTGTTAACAATACGATTATTTATTAGCTCCAGATGCGAGGTTACTGCCAGATCTTGGAATTAAAAGAAGAGAGACAGTTGCAAAGGTTATGGAGTTTCTAATAACAAGAATTTCACGTAAATATTTATACTACATAAAGTGTAATTTATAAAAACTTTTATTTTGACATTATTTATAATGTTGCATTTTTTTTTTTAAATAAAGTTTTAACTTTTTAAGAAATATTATATGTAATGTAATTTATAAAAACATTTTTTACAAATTTAATATTGCAATTTTTTTTTTATTTTTTAGTTGGATATATGAATAAAAATCTGTGTCGCTCATTAGGATTACTCAGAAGTGTACTAGACCCAGAATCATTTATAAATTCTTTTAATATCAATCACGGCGTATGTGTCGTAACTTCAACTATAGGCGGCACTGTAAAAAGCAGCAAATTCAAGTGTGTTCGTGACGGGATTGTTCAAGTTGAGATCAATGATACCGATCGAACAGAACCACTATCTTATTCGCGGGCGTGGTGATTTAGACCAGTAATATGTACGATTTATATATTGTTAATGATCATATACAAAATGATATCGTACATTTTAATTATTTTTAGTATCATAATATAATACTTGAAATAATGTTTTAATACTGCACTTACATACAATTTATAAAAAATATATAATGCACTTCATAATAAATAGTTTTGCTTACAGCTTAAACACGTGATTTTTTAAAATTATTTTAGCTGACTACCTATCATCTTTTCCAATATGCTGTTTCTTTGACATTATTTATTTAGTTATATAGTGTAGTAGTTTATATAGAGTTCAGTACAAACATCTCTTTTTATTAATATTTGTTTTTAAACAATCTTTAAATCAAATAGGTAAAAATATTCAGTAGACACATACATTGGAACTATGTATGTATTTTTATAGCAAATATACATAAGTTTAGTTTTTTATAATTACACAAGTACTCCCACTAGGGATGAAAACACCACCCATCCATCGAATTTACCAAAGCCGCATAATACGTTTCACTAAAAAACTTTTAATCGCGGATATGTTATCTCCATTGACTTATCTTTTATCTCTTATCTCTTTTATCTCTCTTCTCTTATCTATTTTATTTCTAAGTGTAAGTTTAACGTGAAAATGGCGACATGAAATTTATTGTATACAGCTCAATTACATATCCATGTTAAAATGTAGTAAACAAGTATAGCATATTGATCGGTGTAAATAAATTGTCTAGAAACAAATATTTTAAGAACGCAATTTAGGGAATAGCTTGGTGCTAATAATCTAACTATGTAAGCCTGAATTTCAAATTGCATTTAAAAATAAACTATATCTGAGCGCAAGGCAGCGCGCCGGCCAAGTTCCAGCAATACCTGTGTATCTTTACACGAACCAATTCACCCAGTTTTTCTAACCCACATTACTCTGTTTCTTCTTAAGATAAGCTTTTTAATGTTCAGCCCATTCAAAATGGGAGGATTTCAAAATTTACATTTTTGTTACTGACTGACTGACTCAATAACTCACTCACTCATCATCAAAATTATAAGACCTTTCATGTATAGGTGGAAATGTGAAATTTGGCACAAAGGTGGGTCTTATAGTGTCAATAAAGGAAAAAACCTGAAAATTGCAGTATTCCCAAAATGAATGCGCTGGGTGGGGATTAATGACCTTCACCGCGCTACTGCCGGTACAGGGCGCTGTTGATTCCCATGTCTCTAGTCAGCTATCATTTGTTCGTAGTTTGTGTCTTTTTTAATTCGTGTCCACATGCATGGCAGTGGGGCAGTGTTCTTTGTTCTTATAACGTTTGTCACGTGGCTTATTATAAAGTATAATTGTACACCTAAACGTTTAAGTTTCGTTAATACTGAACTAGATTTATAGTGGCTACTCATATAAATTCTAACTTGACTACAATAAATTCTATTTAATTCTAATAAATTAAATTAATTAAATTAATTTAATAACTACTTATAATCATAATTATTATTTTTATAATATAAAGCTGTCCCAACCCGGCGTTGCCCGAGATTTATTTTGCCTGGACTGAGTAAAAAAATTACAAATAAGTCAGTTCTTGAGGCTGTATATTGTGAAGCTTTAGCATACCCCGTCCCGGATTTTTTTGGATCTACATATGTACGTTACATTGTATTGATTATGTCTCCCTAATACTCAGGGGTCCCAGTCCCAGACCCAGATCTAGTCCCAATTGTGAAAAGCGTCCCCAGAATCGTGGTACATAGAACTGTCATTTCTGAAGCTCGTAATGCCCTTTTCTTTCGTGTTTGAGATGTAGATCGACTAATCGATTGACGTTTGGGGGGCATAACATAAAATGAATCATCATTCTGCTCTTTTATTTGTATTGCTTAACACTTGGCCAGTTTCTGAATTAAGCATGAAACATCATTATCAAATGTACTCACTTAGGAGTTAGTTGTGTGATGGAAAGAAGAGAACTCAGAAAAAAAGAACAAGCTTTAGATCCCCTCTCGATAAAGTCAACCAACCAAAGTGGTGGTATCTACATTGCGGACAGGTCTGTTATATGCCTCATTCAGAAAGGTCATGTTTCATTCACAAACTAGCCAAGTGTTAAGCAATACAAATTAAAGAGCAGTGTTGCTCATGAAATTAGGAGTGAAGTGTGGTTATGAACTAAAGAAAGAGCAGACTTGGTCACGATGTAGATATCACTACTTTGATAGGCTGACATTTTTGGAAGGGGGGTCTAGAACTTGGCCTTTTTTCACTGTTAGGTATTTGTTGGGGATAACGATACTACAGGAAATAGCACATTTTGAACCAAAAACGGAAATAACACGTTTTGGAAAAAATAATTGGAAATAACACGTTATGAATTATTAAAAATTGTCTTTGTATACTTCTAACATAGGAGTTAATACGTTTTGACACCAATTGGGAAATAGTAAATTTTGAAAAAATTAAGGTCAAATTAATTAGGTCAATGTTGGCTTTGTTTTGTTTTAATTAGTGAGCACAATTTTATGTTTGCTTGTAGTATTGTCCTTGGAACATTATATACTGTATACCCACAGTTTTTTTGCTTTAAAATTTGTAATTTTAAAAAAATATGTTTACCCGTTTTCACAACTGTTCGATCAATACACAAACATATTTAAAAATTATGAAAAACAAGTTTTTTTTCTTCTTAAAACCGCATGTTTTAACAAAAATACTGTACGACGTTAAAGTTACAATAATTCGAATAGTTATTTATTTTAAAGTGTGAATATTACAGCAGCCGTGTAGTTACTGAATTATTAAAGAAATATAGTATATATTTGGTTATATACTATAAGTGACAATTACATTTATGAGGATGTCCAGTCATTGCAATAAATTTAATTGAAAATTTTCCACGACAGTTTCCTTCTACTATAAATATATGGAAAAAATTAAGATTTCACAATTGTTTCTTCTCATAGCATTAGAAATGTATTGTCATGTCATCTATCTCTAACAACACTCTCTCCCTTTATCTGATCATAAACCCTCTACCTAAAAGAGCATTAGCTAGCATATTATTACTAAAAGCACTTTTAAATTATGTAAACAAATAATATCTTCCCTAAAATGAAAGCTTTATGATGAATTTATCGTAACGATATTTGCCAACTGCTAATCGGAGCAATAAACAACTATTTACTTTTGTTAAGTACTTAAAGGAAATAACTTGATTAAAAAGCCAAAAAATAGTGTATTTTATTTTGTGTGAAAACGTCAGAATAATAATATATCTACGGTAAACAGAAAACCACTAAGTGCAAAGTAGTGTATATTATAAACTGGACTGAACTCCGAATTTAGGTAGTTTCCAACATCCGGTTTCTTTATTCTTGAAGTGACAAATTACCCGGATATATTTATTTAGGCCAATTTGGAGAATAAAACAACTGTTACAAAAACATGTATTTTTACCGTCTACTTTTATAACATATTTTATAAACCGCAACTATTTTGTCAGTTAGGATAAGTTAATTAAAATTCAGATCTGTAAACTGATTTGAATTAATATTAAATGTGATAGATTCAGACGTCCCCATCAATGATAAAAATATATCTGATTTTAACTGTAAGAAAGAGGATTACTTGAGTGACCTTCAACGATTAAGATAAATTTGATTTGGTGTGCTTTAACCCATTAGTCAATTTATAAGAATTGTAAATCATTTGATTTCGATTTTTGTAAAGAAGGATGATATAGTAATACATTTGTTAAGGTGTTATTAAAAAACTAGTTCCGCAATAACAAAACACCATTTTTTAAATTTTAGCCTGATATTTTTCTACAAGACTTTAAAGATGTAGCGCTTTTACTATGATAGTTAAAAATCGCTATAATACTACTCAGCTCCGCATAGTAAATACAACTCAACTAAATACAGATGTTACCATTTAAGTTTAAAAAGTTTAATTATAAACCAAATAACACTGTTATAATAATTTATAAATTCCATCTATTAAGTATACTATTTGCACATGTATAATAACATGAAATTACTTAGATGGATAGAGTTTAATGATTACTTGAAAATCATGTAAATTTAGGTCAATATATTTAAACAAAATTGATACAAAATCTGGGACAATCGATTTCTTTATTTGTTTTTTTAGCAGTAGTTTATGGTTTTGAAATTAAACTTAAAGTAGACGGCAGCTGGTTTGTAAATGTTTTTTTGTATTTATTCTATTAAAAAAATATTTTCGCAGACAAAAATAATAAACACTAGGACGTGAAGCGAAGAAAAACAATATGTCTGTTTTAATGTTTTATTACATTTTTATGGGTCAGCTACTGTATAAACATAGTTCTTTTTCGTTTGAATTTGTAAATTTAAAAAAAAAAATATATGTTTAACATGTGTTTTAGCAAAAACTATGTAGGGCGTTTAAAGTTACAATTGGAATAGATAATTATTCTTGTTTGTGAATATAACAGCAGCCTTGAAGTTGCTGAATTATTGAAAAAAAATAGTACATTTTGGGTTACATACTGAAAGGGTATATTATCATTATTAATAATTGTTTACCTTAGACTTCTTTACATAATTTTTTGTTCTTATAACTCAAGAAAATAATCGAAATTCAATTTGTCTGATCATCCTTCTCCCCTCCTCAAAAAAGTATTAGTGTCATATTTTTTCATATAATCTTCAATTTTCTAAAACTATTTTACGAAGAGAATCAAATAATATACACACGAGGCACGACCACGGCATTTGTTATGTCTTTAATAGGAAATAACTTGATCAAAAAGTCAACCTATAGTGTATTACATTTTGTGCGGATATTTATAGATTTTTAAATGACTGATAAAATTACAAAATAGAAGCATCAAAGCGTTTATTTGAAAGCGATTTTATTCAATTTTATCACTTTTATTTATAATAATTCTTGTAGACCTGTGACCTCTCCGTTTCCTCATTGCTTTGATTACATTATGCCAATACTCTACTGTACTAGTCCTCTCGGATAAAATCACTTTCAAATTAACGCTTTGATGCTTCTATTTTGTAATTTTATCAGTCATTTAAAAAACGACACAAGTCACAAATTTGAAATATTACACTAGCCACAAGAAACTTCATAAATATATTTTGCAGTGATTCAAATTTCTTGTACTCAACATTTGTATTAAATATGAGTCTGACAAATTGAGTTTTCACACAGAATACGTAGCTAAGTATATAATTATTACATTTGATAAAAAGACAGTTTTGAAAAATCGGTGACCTAAGTCGTTTTTGAAATGGCCGATTCAATTTATTACTTTCTAACTTTCCTAGCTTACACTGTGCTTGGTTTAGATTGTACTGCCTTGAAAATACTAACTACCGATTTGCATCGAAGCGTTTTTTCGAAAGTGATTTTATCACTTTCAGATTTAAAAATTCCTATAAACCTGTGACCTCCCCGTCCCCACTATGCTCCGTCCCCACTATGCCCCGACCCCACTGTACTGGTTTTTTTTTTAATTGTTCCTTCTTATAACTCTTTCTTTTCATTACATTTGCACCAATCTACAAAAAAAGAAACGCATGTTTTCTTGATCATACTAAATTTTGATTTAGCACATATTGCTAAAACACAAAACCTGTACATGTATATATATACAGGGTGATCCAACTAACGTAAGACACTCATTTTCTCTGAAAGTATGAATATTTTGCAAATTTTTTTTTTCCTAAAATTTTAGGTACATATTTAGCTACATTTTTCAATATTTAGAAAAATTTTATCTTCAACCCTTATACGTTAAATAAGTACGAACCTCGTTTTTTCAAATGGGAACATATGTTTTAAATTCCATAAATATAAAGACAAAAAATCTAAAAAAATGTTAGCGTTTGAATTTTTAATTTTCATCCATTTGTTCGCTGTTTATGACTTTGTAAAGATTTGAATTTTTGTCTATATTTCTTAATAATTTCATTCGATTCGACAAAGACAAGTAGTTTTATTACGACGGTCATCACATCAAATATAATAATAATTTGATGTTAACGCATTCCGTATCATAATCAGATATAATAAATAACCATACATTATTAGACGAAAGGTAGACTGTTACGGATAACGGACTTTACACTTTAACCTAATCTAGCTGGAGCTAGTCATTAGCTGGTTATCTCGGATAACAATCTAGTATCTAAACTATGTATCAGTTACCACGGAATAATCGAGTGACCAGTACCCATAATATATTTTATTATTTGTACAAAATCGCATTATATTTATTATTTGTACATAACCTCATCGCTAACAAATTTCGACTTCGAAGTTCACACGTTTACATTAGTGAAATGAGGAATTGCAAACTTAATTAAAAAATGTTAGTAAATTTACATTTTACTTTATAGTAAATATGATAGCATGCTTATTGTAGTTATGTCATAACTCGTTATTTTATAATTTTTTAAATATATTAATTGATAATATTTGCTCTCGACTTTATTTTGACGTTACATTCTTGGACACACCATTAATTTAATAGGTAAGTGTATTAAAGTTTAATAGATAATTTAATACAATACGAATTCAATTAGCTTTTTTATTTTAGGTTGAATGCTTTTTTCCGAAAATCTTTTATCATTTAAAAATCAATGTTATCATGTCAGAAATATCTATGGCGTTGAGAATAGGCTATACCAATTACTATGGAAATGTCTTTTCAATTGGACCCAAGACTGAAGACCTTACAATTTTATATTAAGGTGTAAATTATAAATATAAAGCATTAATTTAATAGGTAAGTTTATTAGAGTTTAATGGGTAATTTAATACAATACGATTTCAATTAGCTTTTTTAATTTAGGTTGAATGCTTTTTTACTGAAAATATTTCATCTTTTAAAAACCAATGTTATCATGTAAAATTGGATTTGAGTATGACATATCAATTGCTATGGAAATGTCTTTCCAATCGGACCCAAGACCTTACATTTATATATCAAGGTGTAAATTATAAGTATAAAACATTTATTTCTAATGTGACATTTTTTCATGTGAATGTATAATATCAACACTAAGCAATTTGAATGAAAAGTGTGTTGTGTTAACTTAAAATAATTATTAATGCATGTATTTGTGTATGTGGGTTGATAATACTCATATACCTGTTTCATTTATTTTTAAAAATATCAGTAATTAATGTATGAATTTCATACTACTACATACAAGGAATCACTTCTTGATTATACCATTATTTATAATAATATGTAAGTATATTATTTTTATTTGATTAAACTTATCTAAGGTAGTTCAAATGTCTGCTTTCAGTTTAGTTATTTCTTACAATGATATAACCCATATATTGTGTGTCTGACATACATTACGGATATTTTATCATAAAGTTTTAGCTATAACTGACACAGGTATTTGGCTATCAAAGTTAAATTTTATATCAAATTAATTAATATACAATAATTCTCTCTTTAAAAAAGTAGTAATTCTATTAATTTGTATTTAATGAATTCAGTAAATCAAGTAAATTATTTTTTTGAACTTGCCTAAGATAATTCTTATAGTTAATTTTATTTATTGAATTTTGATTTTGTTAGATTTGTTTAATTACCAACGATTGTTAAAAGAAAAAAATTTAAATCAGTATTATAGAAGTTGAACAATTTCAAATGTATAGATATTGTTTTTGTTTAATATTTTTGATTGAATATTTTCAAAATAGTAACATTTGTAATTTTTAAATTTATTGTTGTATTAATAAATAGTTTATGAATATTTTATTAGTTAAATACTTATATTATCAGACAAAAGATTATTATTGTTCTTTAAATGTTATACTATACTATATGTTTGTCGTTGAAATTTATCAACACAATTGTTTGACTATGTGTTATCAATGTTCAAATTTTGTAAAATACACAGTAAAAATTAATAAAAATTGTTTTTTAACTCTTTAAAGTAGGAAAATTGTCGCATACGCATTACAGCAAATATTCTTTTAACCATTATTTGCATCATTAAAGGTAAACAAATTTTATTTTTAACAACTATGCATTATAAGTTAGTATAATTGATTTTATAATTATTTGTATTTATACATAAATATAGTATACATGTATGTATGTGTATAAAATCAGACAAACTTGTCGCGTACAAATTCCATAAAATTGAAATCCTTAAAAATGTGTTTTATTACAGAATAATTGTTAAATTTAGATACTACAATTTAGCTAAGGCTATTTTTGATTTAATATTGCCACTTTTACATAATCTTAGTAAAACGTACCCGTTATAATAGTTTAATAATGTCAATACTTTAATTTGTATAGTAAACAAGGAAATATCAGATAATGGTTTTCTTTTTAAACAACTAAAATCTATTAAGCTTTTAATTTTCTAGATATTAAATAGTGAAGAAAATAATAAAAATAAGAAAATACTGATTATACATAAAATCAAAATAAGCAGATTCAACTGTAAAAGAATTAACTTTTCAATTTGAAATTTTTGAAACAGACATATTTTATTATAAAGGCTTTAGAATCACTATTATTATAACATTGTACACCTTATAAGTTATAATAATAATTAGTAAGTACTAATAAAAAGATTAGAAACATATAAACTATTTAATTTAATAGTTATTAATAAAATAAAAAAGACAAGTTCTGATAATTTAATGTTTGCGTGACACAAACCCTAACTTTATTTCTGAAGTTTGAGTATCACTGTGTGATTTTGTGTAATTGAGTCACAAATTATTGATCCATATTTTTATTAACAGGATCTTAATAAGAAATAACTTGACTTAAAAAAAAATGAAATATCAATGATGTTGAAAAATTTACCGTTACAGAAAAATCAAATCTTTTTTGCCAACAGGATGGGGAAAACAGAAAAAAAAGTATAAGTACTTTGAATCATAGTTTGGAACTACCGGCTTAAATTAAGTCGATAATTAATACAATTTCAAACTTAACTGTGATTTTGTTGTAGGTTCCTAAAACACTGTTTACAAACATCTAGTCTTTAGACAACTTAATCATTTAAACACAGTCCACTTTATTGCATTATTTTTTATTAATAAAGTTGTTTATATAATAAAAAAAAGTTAGTTATAAATGTAAAATAAGCAACATTTTAAATATTTACTGTAGAATTAAAATAGTAAGCAAATTAAATCGAAAATTCCTTATTTATTGTATATTGTTTAAAACAATTATTTGAGCACAGAACATATTTTGAATAAATTGAACATAACTAAACAAACAATAGTAACGCTTCGCGACGCTTGTCCATTCAATGTATGCACTTATGAGATTGTAAGCCAAATTTTAAAGCTATTGTTTACTACCTATAAAAACTATAAAAATTATAATTTTCATAATAGCATAATAATAATCTGTTGTACTGTGCTGTTACTTGTTGAATGTAGAACATAGATAGTAGAAAAATATGATAACTAATGATAATAATATTTTGTATTATCATCATAGTAGCAGTTATCAACCTACTTGTACCGCGGTTTTTGATTGTTGTGGTTAAATAGCCATTCGTTAGCCGCTGTTAATATAGGTCTGTCAACCTACCTGTCATGACGGTGTGTTAGAAAAGTCGGTAATCTATAAATATGAATCGCTGGTCAAACAAAATATCACAAAACATTTTATTGAGTTTGGTTATCTGTGTACTCATCTATCGGACAATGCGATCATAAATAAGTATTTTATTGGCTCCCGGTCTTTGGAAAACCAAAGAAATATAACAATATTTAAGAGAAAATGTAATATCTTTACAAAGTCATAGCTAACGACTAGATGGATAAAAATTAATAATTCAAACGATAACATATTTAAAAATGTTTTGCCTACAAATATATGGAATTAAAAACATATGTTGCCATTTGAAAACGTGAACTTAGACCCTTTTTATCGTATAAGGGATGAAAATAAAAATTTTCGAAGCATTGAAAAATGTAGTAAAACTTATACCTAAAAGAATAGGAAAAAATGTTTTTTCAAAAAATTCATATTTTCCGAGAAAATGAGTGTCTTACGTTAGTTGGATCACCCTGTAGAGGCTGTGCCAGATACTTGGATGAAAAAAGATAGTTGTGCTTGGCCAAAAAAAAACATAAATATTAAATCATACATAAAAAACAGAGTTAAACCTAACAAACAAGAATTTAATTATTATCCAGCTCGGATATTAGGGGCTAAAAACTACTGTAAGAAATAATTATATGGTAAAATTAATTTTTTATTCACAAATTTCAAAACTTGTAATAACATTTTGTTTGAACCTACAAAGTATAGTGCAAGTGATCTTTTATAAACTGTGAGGCCAGAGGAAAGCTTCCAAAAGCGGATTTGTCGTCCACTGAGGGTGATATAAAAAAATTTAAAAAGAGAAAATTTATTACAGAATTTCCTGCTAAAGGCCCTGTTCTATACAAAGACTTTTGCTCTAAAGGTTTGTTAAAAATTGTTAAACGTAATATATAAGTACAAATTTTAAGTTTTACTGCTTTTTTATCTAATATTTGAATAGTTAATTATTTGGCTGATCTATACATTTGTCGTTTACGATGAAAACATGTAACCTATTTTTAATTCATCAATTTCCAGTAAAAAAAACCCATAAAAACAAAAAATTATTTATCTTTTCTACACTTTACCCAATTACACTGTTAGCTTGTACCCATATAGTTGTCAACACTTTAAATGCCAATGTATACATTGTGACTTCATTTATGAAATTATGTATATTTTCTTTTTCTTTAGCTCCATACTAATATAATAAATAATAGCTTATAGAAAATTGTATACATTACAATGTTTTTTTTATAAATTTAGAGGAGCCTATAATAATCTGAATTTTTTATTTTGCATAAAAGAGTGTTTTCTGGTAAGCGACATTATATATTTTGATTTTGCATTCATGTTATTATTATCAAATGCGACAACATGATATTTACAACTCTAAATTTTTCCAGGAACTTCTGAAATAAATTCAAAAAAGGTCACAGCTGTAGATTCTGATGGTTCAGAACACAATTCTTTAAGTGATTTTAGTAGTGATAACACACACTCTGATCCAACATGGGGACAAATTATCTTAAATGATAAAGGTATATGATATTATTTAATTCTAAAATGAATAAATTATTGCATACTAGGCAATATTTAAAGTTTTAAATATAATGTGTAGCATATTATAATGAGATCCTAAATATTTTTTAAAAATGGTGAGAACAACTAAAATAATGTACACCCCATTTTTGGAGGTTCATTTTATTTATAAAATAAAATACTAAATTATAGTTAAATCATATTAAGCATAGTTATGTACAATTTATTTTGTTGTGTTGTTACATAAGTAATTATATATAGGCATGACTGTATAATATTTTATCATATTTTATAGATAGTGATGATAAATCTATTTCACCAAATATTATTGAGACAAAAATACAAAATGCAGGGCTCACACCAACAACTCAAAAATGGAAAATTAATAACATTAACGAAAAAGAAAAAACAGAATTAGAACTTAACCTCCAGAGTCCTTTCAAATCTCCAGGCAAATGGAGTATTCAAAGTGTTCCAATAGACAGTACTAAAAGAGTATTAAACATGGATGATGATAAATATGCCAAAAGAGATCCATGTCAAAAATTGCATTACAAATTGTATTAATTTCTAATTGTAATGATGTATATGAAAATAATTTTTTTTTAGAATCTGTACATATAATAAAACCAAAGCCAACAACCATACCAAACCAAACAACTACGGAAAGTGTGTTTAAATCTTCTCATGGTAATATATTATACATTTTACTACTAATAATGACTTTTTTTTGTTAATTAATGAAAAACTATACTAAAAAATCATTTAAATAAACTAATCATTGTTTTATTGATTATAATATTAATAAATTATAATAATGATGAAATAATATTATTTCTGTTTCAATTTTTACAATTTCAAAAATTTGTATTTTCATCTATGACCCATGTTAAATATGATATTGGTGCAATTATGCATATTGTGAATGATACAAATAAAAATGTACAAGCTTTAATTGCTCATTATACCAATAAAAATGACATGCTAACAACTACTAATCAAGATTTAGTTGACATGAATGTATTCCCTGTACAAAATGATGAGGACCTTAAGATTATTGAAAATAAAATACAAGAAAGTGCCCGTTATAGAAATGAATTGGTAATTAATTTTAAATTATTATTACTTAGGTAATATGTGTGTAAAGAAATTATTTGATGATGTTAGTTTGTAGGTACATTTATTTGTAAAAGTATCTATTCACTTGTTTTAAAAACTCTTAGGCATAAAACATAAAATTGCCATTATTTATTTGAGCACAACACATAAAATATAAGTTGTTATATTTATTTAAATATATATTATTATGAATAGATACTAAAATGAATAGTAATTTGACCATGTTACTGCGATTATACTTGGGTATTTAAATTTACACAATATACTTGTAAAGCTTTCAAAACTCGTTTTAGTATTAATAGTATTGTTTTTATTTCAGGTGTTTAAATTATCATTGTTGGTTGACAGTACAAGTGTAAATACCAGTGTGAGACGAATCATTGGACGTTTGTGTGATGATTCCATTTTACTTAATTACTCCTTAACTGGATTTAAACACAATTTGAGTTTTTCAAGTCTGAAAATATATCGTGTCCTTATTGGTAAGGATGTAGTTAAATATAACTATAATTCAAACATAATTTTAAATTATAACTTTTATATTTATTTGTCTAATTATTAATTAGGTAAATCCTTTAACCAACTAAATATTCTAAGTATCCAACTTAATAAAAAAAAAAAAAAATAGCCTATTTCAGATTACCTACAACCCCCAGCTAATTTCTTGCAATTTTATTGTTTACAATATTTAATTTTTGCAGACTTTTTGACACTATAATAATTGTTGCCTAATTTTCCTATTAATTGTTGTTACGAATTTTCCCTCTCAATTATTTAAAGGAGAAGAAGGGTAGTAATTTATTTTTGATAATTTTTCAACTGAGCACGCATACAAATACGTTTTAATCAAACCTCAAAAAATTGTTATAGCTATATATATATGTGTATTTAATGTGTAGTAATTTATTATATATTGATTTATAATTTTGACACTATGTTACAGATGCTATTAAGAGAAATATACAATATGCCAGTGTACCGGATCAGAATATAAATGCTCCGTTAAAAGTTTGGTTTGACCATGCAAAATTTCGAAAAGAAAAAGGCAAAAATAAAAATAATACATCATAACATCATATATCATTGCAGTATTATGTTGAAACTATTTATTCAGTAGTATTTTTTATTGCCTTTTTTTGTATCATTGATTAATTATCATTGATTATTTATCAATGATATTTCTCTTTAAATACGCTTTTTTTTATAATTAAAAGTATTTTTTATTATATGTTATGTTTTTAAATATTGACTTAAATTTTTTAAATGTTTTAAAAAGTGTTGCTGATTAACAATAAAAAATATTGTAAAATCTTTATATGCTTATATTTATAATATAAAATACAAAATTATATAGTTTTAACTTGATTCATGTTGTTTTTTTTTTACAGTGTGTAATTACATTTTTAAAATAAAATTGCCCACAGCGTTACTATATAATACCTATATAGATTTTATGGTGATGAGAATTATTTTACTGAAGATTTAAAAAAAATGTATTATTTTACTTCTATCTTGTTTTAAAACCTTATAAGAACTTTGAAGGTCTAATGTTTTAATAGCTTCATATAAACAATATTCCTAAAATGTACTGAGATAACATTGTAAAAATGTTATAACGGTTACATTGGAGAAACGTTTAAAAATAATATTATCTGAGCCTTATTTTTGTGGCCAAATAAGTTTGAAGGAATGTTATTGAAAAGTTAAATAATTTAAGGACAATGATTGTAAAACATTTGGAGAAGACGCACTTTATATTTAAAACGTTTTTAAAAAGTTCTGTAAAGAATTAATTGCTCTCTGGGTTGTTGGTCTTTCTTGGCAATCCATTTACCGAAACAACCTCTGGTCCAACAGACCTTATCAGGTACCTAAATAACATGTGAAACATAATTTTTGGATTCAAGTCTTAACCAGGTATTGTAGTTATTATTTATTTATTTCAGCATAATTATAATGTCATTAAAACACATCTGATTTCAATAAATCTTTTTATTGCAGTTTAACAAAAAGGCTTTTCTTAATGGCGATATTTGATCTGAAACAATGAAATACCTTTGGTAATATAGAAGTAGACGTTCAAGGTGCACTCCACGGTGGTGAACGAATGCTTTTATAAGAGCAAATCCTCTTTCAATGTTGCGGGCCAGAAGCAGGGGAAGACATAAAAGAAGTTTAACTGTTTTTAAAGCATTCTCATTATGGTTTGCATAATTCAAGTAACCGAGCTTACTCATTTTTCTCCACACAGCCTTTAAAGATACATGTGTTTAAATATAAAAATTATTTATGTTTTACTTTTTAGTTTTTTACTTGATTGTGGTGAAACCAACAACCTGCCGCACGAGCTCCCGGAAACGTTGATACCAGAGCATCTCGAAGCGCTGGCAGTGGCAAAACTCAATTATTCTTTCAAAATGTTTTTTTGGTATTTTATTATACATTCTACAGAATAATATTAATGATTTTTTTTTTGTGGGATTTTAATATCTAAAACCGACACTTGTGGTTGACTGTAAATTGATTGATGAACAGGCCAAGCCTGTTTGAAATTACTGTATTAAAATTCTACGTGGATTAATGAAAATCGGAGGGTTTTTCCTGATTTATTTATGTTTAATATAATTACGAGACTGATCTTAGTGAAATAAGTAAATAAGAACGAATATTTAATACACATTTCATTCATGTTTGATGTATATCTTTAAATGAAATTACCCTAAAATCTAAAATATGGCACTGATCTTAGCGAGTTTTATTTCGTGGCACAGTTTAATTATAAATTATACATTATTATAACTGTTTTTAAAATATTTTTTCATATTTGTGCATAGATGACACAAGCAAATTACATCAATTATATCATATTGACGTTGTAAATGCACAACAGTTTATAAATACCTACGGAGCAGATCAACTAGCAAGACAAATGTTAATAAGTGTAACACAATATATGGTTCTCGGATTAATGAATGATGGTCTAAGTGTGTTCGTAGACAAAAAAGAACTGGATAATTAATTTATGGGAAAATAATAAGGAATTCACGTAAAAAATACACTTTGTTGCTTACAACAAACAAACTTTCTTACTGTGTTGGTTTTTAGTGTGCTTAGTTTAGACTGTGTCGGTTTGAAAAGTACTAACCACTGATTCGCATTGAAGGGTTGCTATTTGTCATGTCATTAGGATGACAATTGTGCGTTAAAAGTATAAGCGTAAAACTGATATTATTTAGGCTATATATATTAAAATAACAAAATGTTATTTATTGTTTATAAATAACATTTATAAGAACAAGTACCTCTCAAGCTGTAAATTCCCATTATTAGTTATTATATATTATGAATAAGTTTCAGTCTACAAGGTAAGAAACGTTTTAAATATCATCGGAAAAAAATCTAGCCTTAAGTTAAAATCTTAGACAAGAAAAAAGCAAAATAAATTTATTACATTGGTTAAAATATTACCTAAGCAAACATTTGTTTTACGAGTGATGTTAATACCTTACACTAAGAATGAAATAGACTGAGCTTGCGTCACGGTAATGTAAATATAATTACAATTTTTTTTTAATCAGCTATGCAAACAAATTCACATAGGCACTCAATAAACTATATTAAGATTTACTGTTTCCATCGACATAAAATCCCATTGTAAAGTCGCAAGAAAAACATTTCAAAAACAGTTCTTGTATTTCAATAGTTTAACTTGTTGTATACTCATTAACAAACTTCTAAGACAGTAAGTACATTTGTTATACACTTTATTAAGTTATCAAAATGTTGGTCTTCTAAATGAAAATCAAAAAAATTTCTACATTTTTAGAGCTTTTTCTCTTCTTCACAAAGGGTAAATAAGTCAGTGGTTTTACGAATTGCGTGGATCCGGTCACATAATACATGTGAAATAAAAATACAATATTGTCGTAGCATCTAAGCTCTGCATTGAAGCTGATAATTAAATGATTACTTAGTCTAACCTAAAATGATTTAATAATTAACATTTTTGCAGATAACAATGAAACTTTTATGTATTTTAATACCGTTTGCCTTGGTAAATGTTTTGGTAGCTGAATTAGGTGATTATTTCATATTTTTAAGTACTTAACGCGATTATAGAAATTTATAAAAAAAAAACTCAACACTTTTTTTCCAGATGAATATGTAAAGCAAGTTATCCTGACAAGTGAGTAAACTATTTTTTCAATAAAAAGTAATTGTTTAAGTCATGCTTTATGTATATAACTTTTTACAGACGAACATATAAAGCTTGTAGAAGGTAAAATATATTTAAATAATGATATATAATGTTTTCGATATATTATGCTTTGTTTATGTAAACTGTGAAGCTACCAGAGTTGTAAACCTAACGTTGATACTTAAATTATTTAAATTAGTAAATTTATAATTATACTCAAAGGCGCAGTTTCCATAATTTAATTAGAACTCACTTATAATTCACTGTTAACATAAGTTAAGGAATGTTAGGTAAAATGGTAGCCACTAGATTTAAAGAACATAAATAGGTAATCAAGAAGGGCACAATTCTCTTGTTGCTAAACATTTATTGTGTGTTAATTCTATCATATAATCAGTAAAATTCCTTTAAAAGAACTTAAACAAATGCTAAAAAAATTATTAAACTGTGATTTAAGTCCAGGATTTGTTTCAAAAGTATTGCTTAAGTATTTTCTATCTTTGTTTATAGCAAAACTCATTATTTGTTTATTCTAGCTGATGTGCCGGCAATCATTAAAGACATTATTCTTAAAGGATATATGATGGGTAATTATGATTATACTAATAGCAAATAAATGAATAATAATGATATATCATGCTAGTAGATGAAAATATATGACATAAAATTATATTCAAACATATTTTGCTCAGAATTCATAAAATATTCATATTTATGTGTTTAAATATAATACATTTATTTTATGTTTTTTTCAGTGGAAATGACTATTATGCTAGGACTACCGGGTAATAAATTCTTTTAGCAAGTTATGGAATTACTTCAACATAGTTGTATCGATATTGATTAAGTATAAAATGTTTCAGTTTTATTTTCAGCAACCAAAGAAAGAGTCTCTGACGATACAATGCGTGGTAAATACTTAGTAATGAATTGTTCATATGTTTTGTGAATAAACATAAATTTCCATATTGATTTATATTATAAAACAAAAAATGATTTACATTAAAATGTACTTTGTTTTTAATTGTAGACGTGATAACTTGCTAACGTCTTGTGCGATCACATATATATTCTGTAGCAGGTATAAAATATAAAAACCTACATTTTCATTCGAACAATGATTAAATTTAATAGTTGTATGGTTGCAATAAAGACGATAATTAATATTCTATTAAAGTTTAAAGTTGTATTCTTATATTATGATTTTTCCTTAAGAGGGCGTCGCACCGGTGATTTTCAGTGGTAAAAACATGTTTAAGCAGACTGAAAATAACTCGCTTAGTTTTAGTTTTAGAGTAAAAGCGTCCATTATAAAATTAAAAGAAGACAAAATTCCTGAGGGCAAGACGGTGCGTTTTTTTAAAAAAATGATTTTTTTGAAAAGTTACAGTCATTTAAAAATGTTAAAATAGTCGTTATTTTTAAACTATGTATTGAGCGTTATACTTGGAATAATGAAAAAAGCGTACCGTCTTGCCCTCCAAAAAATTATTTTCTTTCAATTTTATAATAGGTGCTTTTACTCTAAAACCAAAATTAATCGAGATATTTTCAGTCTGCTTAAACATGTAGAGATGAAAAAACATTTTTAAATCGCTTTTAACAAGCAATTGCCTCGAATGACTTAACAACAAAACAACAATGTCCATATAACAACAATAGTATAATCATTTATTACAGATTAGAAACGTGCTTACAAAATATAAGGGGGGGGGGAGGTCACAATGCGTCAGCAAAACATCTCGAGTTTGACCCAACGTGGCAACAAAGCTTTGACGACCGGATCACGTTTCCATGCACAGCCCACAACAGGCGGCGAGCAACAGAGACAAGTAATATTAATAACATGATAAAGAATTTATTACATACATTT